TTTCCTAGGAGGTAAGTAGGAACCCAGTTGATAATCAATTGGCCGATCACTCTCCGGGGGTAATAATCCCTCCAAAAAAAATGTGGTCACTTCAATCCACGACTGTTTGTGGGACGCTGCTCTGCGCAATTGGCTGCCGTGATTCACCCTCAAAATATACAGTCAATTCACTTTACAGGGTATCCTGTGAAGAGCTTCGAGACGTCTCAAAGACGTGATAAGACGCTATATCAGATGCAAGGATTATTATTATTATTAAATGCAGCATCTCTTCAGGTGTTGTTAAATTGAACTGATCCGTTGGAATGGACTGACCATGTTGAAAGTGCAGGTGTTTTGTGGCAATGGAGCATCTCCGGCTCAGCACTCTCACCTCTTGGTCAGCTGGTGTGGGATTGTCTCCTTGTTATTGCGGCCAATAATCCTCCAGATAAAGCTTGTCACCTCCCTCCTTGACTACTAAAACACCCTCCTCGCCGACAATTCCCAGCCCAGCTATCCACAAACTCCAGTTAATCCCAAACTCGCACTGAACTCCATACCCCCATCACACCAGTTCGAGGCGGGCTCCACTGGCTCACCGTCACCGAACAGATTGGTTTCAGGATCCTCACACTAGTTCTGAAATCCCTTCGTGCCCTGGCACCTCCCTACCTCTCCGACCTGCTTACCAAATGCAAAATAGTACCAAATAGTGTAGACTGCAGCGGATAAAAGGATGATGATTATCATTATTATTAGCGGCAGTAGACATGTTGCCAAGTGTGTCCTTTGCCCTTGTTTTATCGAAGGGGCTGCTTTGTAAGGCCAGGAGGATGAAAGCAGTATAGGTACGTGTGGGTGTTGAAAACCACCCAACTTTGCTCCATTCACTGTGACTCGTCTCCCACTCCGCCCGCTCCACCATCAGCTGTTGGGCTTTCAGCCTCTCTGCCTCCACCCATTGGAACTCCATCCCACAGTCCCTTCGCCTCGCCCCCTCCCCTCGCCTCCTTCAACAACAACAACATTACATTTGTATAGCGCCTTCCACTATACTCTATATACACTCTACTCAAGCCCCTCCTCTTCGACCGCACCTTCGGTCACCCTCCTGCCCCCACGCTCCCTGCCCTCCAACCCCTGCTGATCCCGACCCCCAGCTCGCGTCCAAATCCCTGACTGTCCAGCGCCTTGGGACGTCCTCCCGACGTGAAAGGCGCCGTGTAAATGTCATCTGTTGGTGTTAAGAACGCCCACGTTTGTATGGACTGAATCGTTGTCGTTTAATGCAGCTGCCACGAATTAGACGTGCCACAGCATCTATTGATCCTCCCGTTTGTGGGCTTGTAAGCTGCTTTGAATGAGAGGTTTGGTAGATCAGTGGTGGGTGGCCAGCAAAATACATTTTCTGGATTGAATGTTTCTTGATTTGATGCCATAAAATGAGAAATATTCAATCAAGATGCAAAACTGAAAGCACACTGCCTATCGAACATGTATCGAGGCTTGTGCGAATGTTGCGGGGAGGGGAAACTTTTTGACGGCCCCGAAGACCACTTCCGGCCCCCGGGCCACAGTTTGGCCATTACGCTCAGTGGTTAGAGCGCTCGCCTCGCAAGCAAGAGAACTGGGTTCACTTCCCGGGCGAGCTGAAATGTTGGGCAAGTTTCCTTACTCCGCACACCTCTGTTTATCTACCAGTAAGCAGGAATTTTTAACAATTCCTTTAAAAAAACAAATAAATAAATAACTTAGTCACTCAATCCCTGACTGTTTGTGGGACGCTGCTGTTCGTAATTGGCTGCTGCGTTTCACCCACAAAATACACAGTCAATTCACTTTACAGTATATTCTGTGAAGCGCTTTGAGACGTCTCAATGACGTGATATGGCGCTGTATCAAATACAAGGATTATTATTATTGCATTTGATATCGTGCCTTATCACGCCATTGAGACATCTCAAAGCCCTTCGCAGAATATACTGTAAAGTGAATTGGCTGTATATTTTGTGGGTGAAATAAGGCAGCCAATTGCGCACATTTTTAGATTGAATGACCAAATTATTATTATTATTATTACTTATAACAAATTTTTGAACCGATCATTAGCCCCGGAAACCGATCCGCCAATCGACTAACATCTGGGTTCCTGATTACTGCGAGGTAAACAGAGGTGTGTGGAGTAAGGAAACTTGTTTAAGGTTTCGCCCTGCCCAGGAATCGAACCTGGGTCTTCTCGCTTGCAAACACGCCAGTGAGTATATCTCACTAATTAATAAGGACAAACTTGACTGCCCTCACAGTGAATTTTCCCTGTCTGAGTTAATAACAAGAAAATCAGTCGGCGACTGCATCACTAACACAGACCCACATACTTCATTGATACTTGATAATCGCGTTGACTGTTGTTATATACATGAAGAATGTAAAACAGCCTCTGATTTAGATTTATAGAGACTTAGCCTGATAGATTTAGCATTGACGCAACTTCTCACACAACTTGGCCCATGTTCAAATGTCAAGGCGATGTTTAAAAGGCCTAAATATTTTAATAAAACACTTTCAGAAATGTCAATGGGAGAAAAAAACGATAAATCTAAAATACAAATCCCGTAGAAAAACATTGCATCGATGTCTTGCAATCCCACATAAATATCCTTGATCGATCAGTGATTGATTCTTTAGGCATTGTTAGCCAGAGAGATTGCATCAATAACTATTGTGTTATTGCCTTATTTAGTAACCGTGAGTCTGGGTCAGAAGGTTGTGGGTTGAGGTGAGGATTTGAAACTCATTCTGAATGTTGCAGGTGTCTTTTCAGAAAAGAATTAATAACAATAATAATACGATACTAATAATCCTTGCATTTGATACAGCATTCTATCACGTCTTCGAGACGTCTCAAAGCGCATCACAGAATATACTGTCAAGTGAATTGACTGCATATTTTGTGGGCGAAACGCGGCAGCCAATTGTGCACAGCAGCGTCCCACACACAGTGATGCATTGAGCGACTACATTATTATTTGCTTATGTTTTGGAAGGGATTATTACCCTGGAAAAGCGATCCGCCAATCGACTAACAACCGGGTTCCTACTTACGCTAAGTAAGCAGCGGCGTGTGGAGTAAATAAACTTGCCTAAGGTTTTGCCCTGTCCGGGAATCGAACCCGAGTCCTCTGGCTTGCGAGGCGAGCGCTCTAACAGATACACTACAGGACTCCAATGTGATGAAGCGCTGTAAAATGCAAGTCGTTTCCAAGTGACTTATGGAGAATGTCACCCTCGTGCAATAAAGCTGGTCTTCTCGAGCTGTCAGTCACGCAGTATTGGATTTGCTGAGAGATTCTGCTGTTATTACACAGTGTCTTTCTGGCAACACTTCATCATTTCAGCTGCACAATGCAAACACAGTTCAATAATGTATGTGCCTCACTTTGTCCCTCTCGCTTATATTGTACCTGATCTATTGCACCTTTGTATGTGACACAAAGGCTAGTGAGTAGCTAATTCCCCTAGAGTCCTGTAACTCAGTGGTTAGAGCACTCGCCTCGCAAGCGAGAGGACCCGGGTTCGATTCCCGGGCGGGGAGAAACCTTAGGTAAATTTCCTTACTCCACACGCCACTGTTTACCCAGTCGTGAGTAGGAACCCGGTTGTTAGTCGATTGGCGGATCACTTTCTGGGGGAATAATCCCTCCAAAAAAAATTGGTTAACCGCTGCACTTTACAGTATGTGCTGTGAAGTGGTTAGAGATGTCTCAATGATGTGATAAGGTGCTGTATCAAATGCAAGGGATTAATATTGTTATTACTATTCTGCTTTTAAATATCTCCCCCACCCCAACACACATCCCAACACGCAATGTGGCTGGAAGTGTGGGAGTAATGGAGGCAAAGTCTTTCAAAGAGCTAGCATGGGCACGATGGGCCGAATGGCCTCCTTTCTGTGCTGTAGGGCTTCTATGATTCTATAAATGGGACTCAGGTGAATATACGACTTAGGTGATTATATGATTTAAATGGTTAGAGCGCTCACCTTGCAAGTGAGAGACCTGCGTTCGATTCCCGGGTAGGGCGAAATGTTGGGTAAGTTTCCTTACTCCATATGCCTCTGTTTACCTAGCAGTAACCCAGGAACCCAGTTGTTAGTCAATTGGCGATCACTTTTATGGGGGTAATAATTCCTTCAAAATAATAATAATTTGGACACTCAATCCACGACTGTTTATGGATCACTGCTGTGTTCAATTAATTGGCTGCTGCATTTTGCCCACAAAATATACAGTCAATTCACTTTACTGTATATCCTATGAAGCGCTTTGAGACGTCTCGAGGACACGATAAGGCGCTGTATCAAATGCAACGATTATTATTATAATACTGAGAAGCTTCCCTTGTATACTTCGAAGATGTCTCCCTGACGTGAAAGGCATCATATCAAATCCAAGCATTATACAAACAAAGGTTATTATTTGTGAACCGTATCAAGTAAAATGAGTGGGTTAGCCACCTACGCTTGCAGAATGGAAGTGCTTTCAGTAGAACTACAATGTGTATTTCAACTAACTTGTGATTTACTTGCCAATTGACATGTAAAAATCTGTCCCCATTTCTCCGGGACTCCATGTTATATCAAAATAATGGAGGCATTTATGTATCGAAACATCCTCCTGTTTGTCCCTTGTGCCCTCCGCTTCACCATCGCTGGTTGTGCCTTCAGCCACTACGCCCCGAAACTCTGTCACTCTCTCCCTCAATCCCTTCGCCTTGCCCCCTCCCTCCTTCCCTTCCCACCTTCAAATCCCGCCCAAAGACTTTCCTTGTTGATCGCAGTTACGGTCACCTCCTCCCCTCCACACCCCTCTCCCCCTGGCGTGGGGTCAGACTCCACCACTGCAAAGTGCTCGGGAGTCTACCCCGTGTGAAGGACGCTACATAAATGCAAGCCATCGTTGTGGGAGGTCGATCCTCAAAGCCTTTTCAATGACAACAGCTCTCCTCTATATCTCTTCTAGGTGCCCACTGAAGTGAATCTATCAAAAGCGAGCTCCTTCTTCAGTCCAGTTGCCCACAAATTAATATCTCCGGGCTCCAGACTCACACCCAGGCAGAGGCGATTGCTGGCAAGTCAAGCGGAACACAGGCCGAGATCTTTTTGTCAAGGTTCTCCCTGGGAAAAATGAAGCCGAGTGACAGGAGATTTTGCCGTTTTCTGGGGCTAATGACATTGTTCCTGTGCCTTTGTGAGACAAGTCTATCGTACTCCTCGCCCTCAGCGTCTCGCCCACAGGCCAAGGACTCACAGGAAGCTCACCAGAGGGTGAAGCGAGGCTGGGTGTGGAACCAGTTCTTCGTTCTGGAAGAATATACAGGGACAGATCCTCTCTATGTGGGAAAGGTGAGAGAATGTGTGTGTGTGTGTGTGTTTTTTGGCCCTAACTCTCGGAGTTGCCGTCCTTTAGATGAGACGTTAAACCGAGGTCCCGTCTGTGCCTGTTCAGGCAGACGTTAAAGATCCCCATGTCGTTATTCGGAAAGTGAAGCGAGTTTGTTTCCCCCGGTCTCCTGGCCAACAATCCCCCAGATAAAAGTGGTCACTCACTCCTTGGCTGTTTGGGAGACATTACTGTGCACAATTGGTGCCACGTTTCGCCCACGAAATACACAGTGAATCCACTTTGCAGTATATCACGTGACGCACTTTGAGACATCTCAACGATGTGACCCAAGGAACCGTGACCCCACTGGAAGGTGGGGAATCGCACAGCGTAGTAGTTAGAGCACTCGCCTCGCAAGCGAGAGGACCCGGGTTCTATTCCTGGGCAGGGCAAAACCTTAGGCAGGTTTCCTTACTCCACGTGCCTCTGTTTACCCAGCAGTAAGTAGGAACCCGGTTATTAGTCAATTGGCGGATCACTTTCCAAGGGTTATGATGCGTTCCAAAAATATACATATAATAATAATAATTTGGTCACTCAATCCACGACTGTTTGTGGGACACTGCTGTGGGCAATTGGCTGCCGTGTTTTGCCCAGTTCACTTCGCAATATATTATGTGAAGCGCTTTGAGAAGTCTCAATGACATGATACGGTGCTGTATCAAATGGAAGGATTATTATTATTAGTATTAATAAAAAATAGACTCAATGCTTCTTCATGAAATCTGACTTTTATTGGCCCTCTATGAAACCCACCCGGAAATCCCCGATGACTTTGTTCATGAATTATCCTATTAGCCGCTGGACACAAGCCATAATTTACAAGGGGGAGTGGTTGAGCATCTCCTATTTAATCAGCAGGAGAACTTTTAACTGAAGTACACTGGTTTCGCATCGACTGAGAACAGATACTCAGCGCACACACGCTCTGCCTTCTCTTCTCTTGAACGGCGAGGACGTGAGATGTGATTTATTGAAAGCCTAATCAGCACTCAACGCTGGTGAAATGCGCTCCTGTTAAAGACGTTTGTCCGCTGCAATATGTCTGCCAAGCAAGGAGGATTTGAAACGAGCAGTAAACCACTTCGTAAATGTGACGCTCGTGCAGAATCAAAAGGCGATGTTGTTTTAATTGTTACACCCAGAACCCTGGTGCTTTACAGCAGCTCCTTTTGTAATGAGCTGTTGAATGAGAAGCCTATGTTCCTTTTGTTTCCCTGTCTGACTGGACACTTCATGACAGCGTTCCTGTGTTTCACCTTCACCAGGTTGGAAAGGGTTTATTTGAGGGGAGGACTGTGAAATTAGTGTTCGTACACCTCCCATGAATCCCTCCGTATAGCTTTCACCTTCCACAGTGATTGTATCAAAACTTTGTCCTGTTCACCTCAGGAAGGATATCTTGGCTCTGGAGGGGGTGCAACGCAGCCTCACCAGAATGATACCAGGGATTAAAGGGTTAAATTATGAGGACCGGTTGCATAAACTTGGACTCCATTCCCTTGAGTTTAGAAGGTTGAGGGGTGATCTGATGGAGGCGTTTAAAATGATAGAGGGATTTGATAGGGTAGTAACAGAGAAACAATTTCCTCTGGTGGGGAATCCAGAATAATCCATCATCTTATAATTAGAACAAGGCCATTTAGCTCTGGCTCTCGCCAACCTGCGCCTAATACTCTCCGGAATTAGGTAAGCAGAATGGGTCCCTCTGGGGAGAGAGAGCGCATTCCATTCCAAATACCTATCTCTGGGATTTCCGTGTGTAGGTGGGAGGCGCGGAATTCTAGGTTTGGTTTGGATGCTCTTAAGCAACGGTGATGGGTTTCTGCATGTGTCAGACACCCGGCTGACCAAAAATAAGGGCAATTGTCATAAGGTTAAGATCATGAAGATTTAAGGTACTTTGACAGCATCACATTTATAACATACATCCTAAACTCCATTCTGCTGCATGTAGTAATTTCCCTGCGTATGAAGCACCATTCCCGGCATATATGGAGCTAAATATTTATGGAGTTCAAAATCCTGGTCCTCGCCTTCAAAGCCCTCCACCGCCTTGCTCCTCCCTGCCTCTGTGACCTGCTAACTCCATATAGACTTATCCCCTCCCTCTGCTCAGCGGGCTCTGGCCTACTCCATGTCCCCCGCCCTAACGCCCCCAGTCCATCCCACCATCGGGCCTTCAGCCTTTTAGTTCCCACCCTTTGGAACTCCATCCCACAGTCCTTTTGCTTTGTCCCCTCTCTTGCCTCCTTCAAGGCCTGCCTCAAGACCCTCCTCTTCCACCGTGCCATCGGTCACCCTCCTATTCCTACATTCCTTGCCCTCCACCTCTCCTGACCCCAATCCCCAGCTCGGGTCCAAATCCCTGACTGTCCAGCACCTTGAGACGTCCTCCCGACGTGAAAGGCGCTGTGTAAATGTAATTTGTTATTGTTGATGATTATTGTTACTATTAAGCCTCCCCTCCTTCTATTCCCCATTTTTATACCCCTTTATTCCCTTTACCGTCATGTATCCGTCAAGATTGCTCTTAAATACTTCAAAGCTTTTTATTTGAGCCCACATTATTATTATCCCCGTGAGAAAAAAATCCTCCTTAAACTCCTTCTATGGAATTATTATTCTGCTCAGGTTGGCTTTCTACTCCAAATGTCAATTTTTTCCAATGTCGCCGCGTTTCACAGAGCTACATGCCGGAGACAGCACAAACATTTGTTTCAAAGATGATCAAATTATATCTAGTGCCTTTAGACAGTGTCACAAGTCACAGGGCTGTCTGATGAGCCATTCTAACTCTTAGCGTTGTCTCATAGTTTGCTCTGAGTCGTAGCGGATTCCTGTAGTGTATTTGGTTAGAGCACTCACCTCGCAAGAGAAGACAAGGGTTTGATTCCCCGCCAATCGACTAACAACCCGGTTCCTACGTACTGTTAGATATACAGAGGCGCGTGTGTGGAGTAAGGAAACTTGCCTAAGGTTTCACCCGCACTCCCCCCTGGGAATCGAACCCGGGTCCTCTTGCTTGCGAGGTTAGAGTGCTCTAACCAATACGCTACAGGACTCCTGGGGGGGGGGGGGGGGGAAACGGGGGGAGAAAAACACAGCTTCCAAACCACAATTCCCACAATCTCCCTCAATGTTTAAGATGGTGAGAAATGCCCTTAAGCGCTCTGAGACGCTACCCTGGGTGGAGGGCGCGAGTTAGGTGCGAGTTGCTGTTGAAATGCGGTCCCTGATGTTCCTCAGCCACTCTCAGAGATGTCAATGAAACAGCCCGGAAAAAAAATATCAAAGCAAGCCGGGGGGGGGGGGGGGGGATGTGTTTGACTTTGACGTGTCAGGCCGAACCGGAGTCTTTAGCAAGGGTACGCTAGCGTGACTGGTGTCTGGCGAGATTGACCAGGAGGTTTGAATTCACTGCAGTTGGTAATTAAATATCGATTCAGGTTTACAAGCGGGGGGAATAGCGCGCCTGTGACAGGCGTCAAACCCGTCCGTTGCTAAATGAGGCGTCACCGTTGGTATTGAGAATAATGATGCTCTTGTGAAGTTTCAGCGCTCGGCACTTCATAATTATCCCGACTGCTTGACATGCCGTTCCAATGTCGTTCTGCCCACAAAAAATATACAGTCAATTCACTTTACTGTATATTCTGTAAAGACCTCTCGAAGACTCGATCAGGTGCTATATCAAACGGAAGGATTATTATTATTATTATTATTATTATTATTATTATTATTATCATTTTAGAACCTTACGCGTCAGGTGCACATCTCAAAGGATATATCGTGAAGTGTCGTGACTGTGTACATTGAGCAGCAGCCAATGTGTACGCAGCAATGTCCCACATGCAGCCGTGAAGTAAATGATCAATTTTATTTGGGGGATTGTTGGCCAGGACACCGCGAGAGAGAGAGAGAGAGAGAGAGAGAGAGAGAAACTCCCTTCTCTTTTCGAATAGCGCCACGGGATCTGTTATGTCCACCTGAACAGGCAGGTGTGGCCTTGGTTTAACATCTCATCCGAAGGACGGCACCTCCGTCAATGCGACGCCCTGCTTGTCAGCCTCCCAACTCTTCCCGGCACAAGCTGCAGATCATCCAGAACTCTGCAGCTCGTGTCCTTTCTCGCACCAGGCTCCATAACCCCATCACCCCCACCCTCCAAAACCCCATCACCCCCACCCTCGTCTGGCTCCGCTGGCTACCCATCTCTCAGAGGATACAATTCAAAATTCTCGTTCTCGCCTTCAAGGTTCTCCGTGGCCTTGGCCTCTCCAATCTCTCTGACCTGCTAACCCCTTATCAGCCTGTCCGCTCCCTCCGCTCAGCAGGCTCTGGCCTGCTCCATGTCTCCCGCCCGGCCCGCCCCACCATCAGCGGTCAGGCCTTCAGCCTCTCTGCCCCCAACCTCTGGAACTCCATCCCACATTCCCTTCACCTCGCTCCCTCCCTCGCCTCCTTCAAGCCACGTCTCAAAACCCTCAGCTTTGACCGAGCTTTCGGCCACCCTCCTACCCTCCCTGATCCCAACCCTCCCCCACGCTTGGGTTCTAATCCCTGACTGTCCAGTGCCTTGGGACGTCCTCCCAACGTGAAAGGCGCTTTACAAATGTAATTTTGTATTGTATTGTGGATTGTTTGGTGGCTTGATAGCAAAGTTCAGTACTCTTTTCAGCATCTTCCAACTCCTTTACAAGATTAACGCTAACTTTAATCTCATACTCTCATACTCAAGATGACAATTAAGAGTTAAACGCTTATAGATGGGGCTGGGTCTCGACTGTGCCTATAATAATAATAATAATAATAATCCTTTTGCTTGAACATTTTGCTTGAACCGACTCTGGCAGTGAGTTCCACATTCTCACCAGCCTCTGTGTGAAGTAGTTCCTCCTAAACTCCCTTTTAGATCTACCGCTGGCTGCCTTGTATTTGTGCCCTTGCTTATGATATCGGTGTTTAAAATAATAATAATCCTTGCATTTGGTATGGAACTTCATCACGTCGCTGAGACGTCTCAAAGCGCTTCACAGAATAAACTGCAAAGTGGCAGCCAATTGCACACAGCAGCGTCCCACAAACACTCATGGATGGAGTCAACAAATATTTTTTTGGAGGAATTATTTATCCCTGGAAAGCGATTCCCCCAATCGACTAACAACCAGGTTCCTACTCACTGCTGGGCAAACCGAGGCGTGTGGAGTAATGGGTAACTTGCCGAGGGTTTCGCCCTGCCCGGGAATCGAATCCGAGTGCTCTAACTAATACGCAACAGCACTCGTTTGTCTTTGTCGTCGAGGCATGTTGTTGTTGTTGTTGTGTTGAGTCTCAAGCCTGGGTTTGTCTCTCGCCAGCTTCACTCGGACGCCGATCGAGGCGACGACTCCATCAAGTACGTGCTGTCGGGAGAAGGAGCCGGTTCCATCTTCACCATCGACGAAATCACAGGAGACATTCACGCCACCAAGCGCCTGGACCGGGAGGAGCAGGCCTATTACACGCTGAGGGCCCAGGCTGTGGATAAGCTGACAAATAAACCCGTTGAGCCCCAGTCCGAATTCATCGTCAAGATACAGGACATCAACGACAATGAGCCCCAGTTTCTGGACGGTCCCTATGTGACCAGTATCCCTGAAATGTCCCCCGTGGGTGAGTGAGATCAGAAACTTGTGCTGCTATAATGCTTCTCTTTCATGTCATAGCTTAGCGGGTAGTGCATTCGTGTAGCTGAGGTGTTAGAGCACTCGCCTCGCAAGCGAGACGACCCAGGTTCGATTCCCGGGCGGGGAGAAACCTCAAGCAAGTTTCCTTACTCCGGGAGTAAAAAATTCCTGAAAGTGAAGACTTTGTATGTGTGTGTGTGAGCGTGTGTGTTTGTGTGTGTGGGGGGGACTTGGGACATTGGGACTTGGAATCACATTGTCAAAGCTGACACTCCAATGCAGTGTGTTTCATTGTCGGAGGTGCCGTCGTTTGGATGAAATGTTAAACCGAGGTCCCATCTGCCTGTTCAGGTGGATATTAAAGATACTACTAATAATAATAATCCTTGCATTTGATATAGCGCTTTTCATGTCGGGAGGACATCCCAAAGCGCTTCACAGAACACACTGTAAAGTGAATTGACTGTATATTTGTGGGCGAACGCAGCAGCCAATTGTGCACAGCAATGTCCCACAAACAGTCGTAGATTGAAAATGACCAATTTATTATTGTTTTGGTTTTGGAGGGATTATTATTAGGCTCTGTGTGGAGTAAGGAAACTTGCCCAAGGTTTCACCCTGACCTGCCGGGGATTGAACTCAGGTCTCTCACTTGCAAAGCGAGTGCTCTAACCACTGAGCTACAGGACTCCACGGGGATATTATTATCGAAAAGAGAAGGAAGTTTCGCTCTCTCTCTCAGTATCCTGGTTAACAATCCCCCAAATAAAATTGGTCACTGTCTCCATGGCTGTGTGTGGGACACTGCTGTTGCAATCGACCTGCACCTTTCACTCACAATATACATCATCAATCCACTTTTGCATATCCTGTAAAGCGCTTTGAAATGTCTCGACGACCTGATAAGGCACTATATCAAATGCAAGGATTATTATTACCATTATTTCTTTCCCCAAATTTACATCAAGCACCCAACAACAACAAGATTTCATTTATAGAGCGCCTTTCACGTCGGGAGGACGTCCCAAGGCGCTGGACAGTTGGGTCGGGACTCGAGCAGGGGGGAAATGGTCAGGGTGAGGGGAGAGAAGGGAGGGAGCAAGGAGGGGGGAAATGGTCAGGGTGAGGGGAGGGAAGGGAGGGAGCGAGGAGGGGGGAAATGGTTAGGGTGAGGGGAGAGAAGGGAGGGAGCGAGGAGGGGGGAAATGGTCAGGTGACGGGAGGGAAGGGAGGGAGCGAGGAGGGGGTAGAGAGTCGAGAGGGGAGCTGAAGGCACGGTCAAAGAGAAAGGTCTTGAGACCGGCCTTGAAGGAGGAAAGGGAGAAGCGGCGAAGGCACTGGGGGATGGAGTTCCAGAGCCTCGGGGCTGAGAGGCTGAAGGCTCGGCCACCGATGGTAGGGCGGTTGGGGCGGGGGATGTGGAGCAGACCGGAGCCAGAGGAACGGAGGGTACGGGCAGATAAATAGGCACCCAAGGCTTTGTCTGTCTACTTCTTTCAAACATCTCACCAATGCACGGCGAAAAAAGGCACAGTCTCCTTTCAGTGAAAAACTTGGAAAGGTTACAATATCAATCTGTTCAAAGGGTGTAATTTCATTGTTCTTATGTTGCTTGAATAGACATTCAGAATCACACAGCCAGCTGTAAATCCAGACATATCAATAAGCGTGTCTTATTATATAAGTGTTCATTAAGGTTTAAGCTGTTGAGCCATAAAATTATTACCAGTCAGAGCTGCATTTGTAGGTGTCAGCTTGGCTCAGTTGGTAATGTTCTCGCCTCTGAGTCAGAAGGTTGTGGGTTCAAGCCCCACGTCGGGAATTTGAATCATATACTCTAAGTTGGCCCTCTAATGCAGTCTTGGGGGAGTGCTGCATTGTTGGAGGTGCCATCCTTCGAATGAGGTGTTAAACCGAGGTCCTGTCTGCCTGTTCAGGTGGATGTTCAAGATCCCTTGGGAATATTTGAAAAGAGTTTCTCTCTCCCGGTGTCCTGGCCAACAATCCTCCAAATAAAATTGGTCACTCAATTCATGGCTGTTTGTGGGACACTGCTGTGCCCAATTGGCTACCGAGTACCGTCCACAAAATTTACAGTCAATCAACTTAACAGTACCTCTGGCACGTGCTTTGAGCTATTTGACTGCGTGGTAAGGCAGTGTATAAAATGTAATGATTAATATTATTGTTCCATAACACAAAGCTTTACAATAATGCTTAATAATTCACAACAATAACAGATTCCTTTAAACATACAATCGATTCTATCAGTTTTTTTGAACATTGGGTTTCCCTTCCCAAATTGTCACCTTATTTGCTCCCCTCTCCATCCTCTCCGCTCCATCCCACCACCTGCCCTGGCCAAGTAGGGCAGAGCTCAATGTATTGCCAGGTTTTCTGTTTGTGCCACTGTTGGAGTGGCAGCCAGGATGTATAAATGTGCCTGGTAGGGCATCTGTCCTCCAATTCTCCTTCACTCCACATGGTCACTGGCTCTGATCAGATTAGCGGAGACTTGAGATCAGGGATAAACCTGCAATCCTTTGTGCATTCCTCACCCCTGAGATACCATTCTTCGGATGAGATGTTAAGCTGAGATTTATCTCTCTCCTGGTAACCTGGCAACAATTCCCCCAAATAATATTAATGTATCTGTCTACTTAAGTGAATTGTATCTGCATATTCATGGAGTCCTGTAGCGTAGAATTTAGAGCACTCGCCTCGCAAGCGAGAGGACCCGGGTTCGATTCCTGAGTAGGGCGAAACTTTAGGCAAGTTTCCTTTTTCCACACGTCTCTGTTTACCTAGCAATAAGTAGGAACCTGGCTGTTAGTCGATTGGCTTTCCGTGGGTAATAAACCCTTCAAAATAAAAATAGAAGTTTGGTCACTCAATGCATGAGTGTTTGTGGGACACTGCTGTGCGCAATTGGCTGCCACGTTTCACCCACAAAATATGCAGTCAATTCAGTTTATAGTATATTCTGCGAAGTGCTTTGAGATGCCTCGACACCGTGATAAGGCGCTATATCAAATGCAAGGATTAATATGATTATATTGCGATGCCTATTCAATAAAACACGAACATGTCAGCTCACAAGTTGCATCGATTTCATGGTGTAACGTGATGACTGATCCAGATGGACTGATTCGCTATGTTTCTTGCAGCGAGAGACTCACTGGGGGTTCCTAAGGATAACAATTTCTTTTGCTGTATCTTCCTAATGGAATTTCCTATTAGTTAGGACCTAATTGTGTCATTTATGGAGTCCTGTAGCTCAGTGGTTAGAGCACTTGCTTTGCAAGCGAGAGACCTGAGTTCAATTCCAGGCAGAGGGCGAAACCTTGGGCAAGTTTCCTTACTCCACACAGAGCCTAATAATAATCCCTCCAAAACCAAAAACAATAATAAAATTGGTCATTTTCAATCCATGACTGTTTGTGGGACATTGCTGTGCGCAATTGGCTGCCGCGTTCGCCCACAAATATACAGTCAATTCACTTTACAGTGTGTTCTGTGAAGCGCTTTGGGACATCCTCCCGATGTGAAAAGCGCTATATCAAATGCAAGGATTATTAAGGATTATTATTATTTATAGTTAAAATGCATTTTAGCAGAATGGAAGAAGGCTGGTGTGATGGAAGCTTGTGAAAATCGTTGTGTGTCATCTTCCCTCCACCCCCATAGCCCCCTTCCCTCCCCCCCCCTTACCCTTCACCCCCTCCTCTCTGATCCCAACCCGCATCTCGGATGTAAACCTCTCATCGTCCAGAGCCTTGGGACGTCCTCCCGAAGTGAAAGGCGCTGTATAAATGCAATTTGTTGTTGTTGTTGAAGTCTCACGTCAAGACTTTGAGCTGGTACAGTCCAGACTGACATTCCAGTGCAGCGCTGAGGGATGCGATACATTGTCAGTAGTGCCGTCCTTTAGATGAGAGGTTAAACTGCGATCTCTCTCGGTATCCTGGCCAAGAATCCACAAATGTGCAGTGACAGTACCAAAGCACTTCGAGACGTCCTCCTGTTGTGAAAGGCGCCGTGTCAAAAACAGTGGGTTCTTGTCATTGAGACCCGTTCCGTACTGGTTAGAGCACTCGCCTCGCAAGCGAGAGGACTTGGGTTCGAATCCCAGTGGGGAAGCGAACCTTAGGCAAGTTTCCTTACTCCACACGCCTCCATTTACCAGCAGTAAGCAGGAACCCAGTTGTTAGTCGATTGGCAGATCAGTCTCCGGGGATAATAATCCCTTCCAAAATAAATAAATAAATAAATAAAATCATTTGGTCACTCAATCCATGACTGTTAGTGGACACTGCTGTGCGCAATTTTTGCTTCATTTCGCCCACAAAATAGGGAAGTCTCAAGGACGTGATGAGGCGCTATATCAAATGCAAGGATTATTATAAAAAACAGAAGCCGCTGGGAACACTCGGCGGGTCAGGCAGCATCTACGGAGAGAGGAAAATTATTTAACGTTTCAGGTTGATGACCTTTTGTCAGATTATTGTCATTATTGATACAATTTACCATGTGTTCTGCTGTGTTCTGTGCAGGAACCTCTGTGCTCCAGGTGACAGCCACCGACGCTGATGATCCCACCTATGGGAGCAGTGCCAGGGTGATTTACAGCATCCTTCAGGGACAACCATACTTCTCTGTGGAGCCAAAGACAGGTGATGACCATCAATAATGGAAGAGAGTGTGTGTATGGTGTAAAGGGGCTCAATGGTAGCAATCTCGCCCCTGAGCCAGAACATTGTGGGTCCAAGTCCCGACATGGGGGGGCATAGTCAACCCAACTCTCCAATGCAGTACTGGGGGTGTCTTACACTGTTGGAGATGCCGTCCTTCAGATGAGATGTTAAACCAATGGTCCCGTTTGCTGGTTCAGGTGGACGTTTGATTTCAAGATCCTCATCCTCACCTATAAGGCCATTCATGGCCTCGCTCCCTCCTACCTCTCCAACCTACTATCCCCCTACCTACCTGCCCGTACCCTCCGTTCCTCTGGCTCCGGTCTGCTCCACATCCCCCGCCCCAACCGCCCTACCATCGGTGGTCGGGCCTTCAGCCTCTCAGCCCCCAGGCTCTGGAACTCCATCCCCCAGTGCCTTCGCCGCTTCCTCCCTTTCCTCCTTCAAGGCCGGTCTCAAAACCTTTCTCTTTGACCGTACCTTCAGCTCCCCTCTCGACTCTCTTCCCCCTCCTCGCTCCCTCCCTTCCCTCCCCTCACCCTGACCATTTCCCCCCTCCTCGCTCCCTCCCTTCCCTCCCCTCACCCTGACCATTTCCCCCCTCCTCGCTCCCTCCCTTCCCTCCCCTCACCCTGACCATTTCCCCCCTCCTCGCTCCCTCCCTTCCCTCCCCTCACCCTGACCATTTCCCCCTGCTCGGGTCATGACCCAACTGTGCAGCGCCTTGGGACGTCCTCCTGACGTGAAAGGCGCTTTATAAATGGAATCTTGTTGTTGTTGTTGACGTTAAAGATCCCGTGGCGCTATTCGAAAAGACAAGGGAGTTTCTCTCTCCCGGTGCCCTGGCCAACTATCCCTCAAATCCATTGCTGTTTGTGGAACATTGAGTGTGCAACTGTTTGACTGCATAATACAAAGTCACTACACTTTACAGTACATCCTGCAAAACTTTTTGAGACGTCACTCCCGACTCAAAAGGTGCAATGACAGTTGTGTGGAATTATTATTATTATTTGGGGTGGCGGGGTGGGGGGGGGGGGGGGCGGGGGATTGTTACCGTGTAGGAACTGCTTCGCTGAAAGAACTTGTTAGCCCTGTGTTTTGCTTTGAGGTCATAATTCTTTGCTTCAAAAAAAATATTCGCAAGGTGCTGTCAGTGAGCCAGAGACTGTTTGTCCTCGCTGGACAAGCAGCGGGAAAGCTTGTCAGACAGCGCTATCAATGGCAAGCTACGCGGTTTTAGGTGGTTAAACTCCAGCAGTTACCCCAACGCACACTCTGAGGTCCCCCCAAGCCTTGGTTCCTGCCAACCTGTGCCTAATACTTTCCGGAAGTTTTGTCACCCCCCAAAAATATTTCGCCCACAAAAATATACAGTCAATTCATTTTACAGTATATTCTGTGAAGTTCTTCGAGACGCCTTGAAGACGTGATGCTAGGATTATTATTATTATTAATAAGGTCAGCAGGATGTGGCCCTCCAGGGAGAGAGAGAGAGAGAGAGAGAGTGTGTGTTTCGTTCCAACAATCTATCTACACCGTGCGTAGGTGGATTGTATGGAACTCTCAGTTTGGTTTGGATGCTCTTAAGCAACGGTGATGGGTTTCTGCATGTTTCCGACACCCGGCTGACCAAAAATAAATTGCTCTCGCTCGCTGTTCTTGGCTGACACATCGTGGTTTCCTAATAAGATGGAGGTGAAATCCAGCGAGACTCATAAATGTGCGAATTGCACTCCAAGGCGCTGTGAGAAATTGTGATTCCTGCTGTAGACAAGGTTGTGTCTCTCAACACTTTCTGCTTAGAGCCTGGAACAGCACTTCAATATTGAATTCTTGGCACTAATTTGTTTTTAATCATTTCATCTAAACGGGGGGAAAAAAAACAAGTTTCGAACTGCATGTTTCTCACTCTACTGCGTGCAGCCATTTACTGCTTTGGAGAGATTATTAGCACTCTTTTGGCAGCACATGCGATAATATGACAGCACTTAGCACTCGGAGCTGTAGTGCACAGCAGACGCTGTGAATGCCATTATATATATTTATATAAGGATATACATGTGGATTCCTGTAGCTCAGTGGTTAGAGCACTCGCCTCGCAAGCGAGAAGACCTGGGTTTCATTCCTGGGCAGGCTGAAACGTTAGGCAAATTTCCTTACTCCTCACGCCTCTGTTTACCTAGCAGTAAGCATTTTCCGGGGTGGGGGTGGGGGGGGGGTGGGGGTAATAATCCCTTCAAAAACAAATAATAATAATAATTTTGTCACTTCAATCCACGGCTGTTTGTGGGACACTGCTGTGCGCAAGTGGTTGCCACACGATTCACCCACAAAATACACAGTCACTCCACGTTACAGTGTATTCTGTGAAGCGCTTTGAGACGTTGAACGACGTGATGAGGCGCTACATCAAATGTAAGCATTGTTGTTAAGCATCGCCAGACCTGTGACCAATCCTTTCTACACGTGTCTTTCAGGAATAATCAGGACTGCTCTGCCCAACATGGACAGAGAAGCCAAGGACCACTACCTCTTGGTCATACAGGCCAAGGACATGGTGGGGCAGATGGGAGGATTGTCGGGAACCACATCAGTCACCGTGACCCTCAGCGACGTCAATGACAACCCACCACACTTCCCTCGCAGTAAGAACCTGTATTTGGTATTTGTGTCGGTGTCAGCCTGACTCAGTCGTTAAAACTCTCGCCTCTTGAGTTAGAAGGTTGTGGGTTCAATCCCCACGTCAGGGCTTGGAATCACATGGTCTAAGCTGACACTCTGATGCAGCGCTGGGGGACGCTTTGAAATATCAAAGAGGTGATAAAACACTACATCAAATGCAAGGATTATTGTTAATTTTGTCCTGTTCAGCTTGTTGTTGGAAGCTTTGCTTCAGGTGAGTAGGTGCAGTTTTTCAAACCGTGCTACCTGAGTATAAGATTATACTGCGAATAAGATTATACTCAGAACCATGTTTTATCTGAACTACAGGATTCTGAAGACCTGCAGCTCAGTGGTTAGAGCACTCGCCTCGCAAGCGAGAGACCTGGGTTCGATTCCCAGGCAGGGTGAAACCTTAGGCAAGTTTCCTTACTCCATAGATTTTAGATTCATAGAATGTTACGGCACAGAAGGAGGCCATTCGACCCATCGAGTCTGTGCGGCTCTTTGACAGAGCGTCACTTTCACTGACCCCAATCACCAGCTTTCTCCCCATAACCCTGCAAACCCGTCTTCCCCAGATACCTATCCAGTTCTCTCTTAAAAGCTGTTATCGAATCGGACTTCACTGCCCTTTCGGGCGGATCATTCCAAATTCGAACAACTCGCTGAGTGAAAACATTTCTTCTAACCTCCCCTCTGCTTCTTTTGGTAGATATCTTAAGACTGTGACCACGGGTCACAGACACACCTACCAGAGGAAACAGCTTTTCCTTATCTCGCCTGTCGAAACCTTTCATGATCTTGAAGACCTCTATCAGGTCCCCGCGTAACCTTCTCTGCTCTAATGGGAAAAGTCCTAACTTCTCCACTGTCCTCATAGCTAAGGTTCCCCATTCCTGGTATCATTCTCGTGAATCTTCTCTGCACCCTTTCCAGTGCCTTAATGTCCTTCCTGAAGTAAGGTGCCCAGAACTGGACACAGTACTCCAGCTGAGGCCTAACCAGTGTTTTGTACAGATTAACCATAACCCCTACTCTTATACTCTATGCCCCTACTAATAAAGCTCAGTACACCAAATGCCTTTTTTACTGCCTTATCTACCTGCCCCGCTACCTTTAATGAATCGCTTACTTGAACACCCAGATCTCTCTGTACGTTCACCCCCTTAAGATTGAGCTCCAAGTCTATATGGCCTCCTATCATTTTTCCTCCCTAAGTGTATCACCTCACACTTATCACCATTGAAATCCATCTGCCACATGTCAGCCCATTCCACCATTCTGGGAATGTCTGCTTACAGTTGGTTACAGTCCTCCTCACTATTTACTACCCTACCTCCACACGCCTCTGTTAACCTAGCAGTAAGTTGGAACCTGGTTGTTAGTTGATTGGCAGATTGCTTTTCTGGGGGTAATAATTCTATCTAAAAAATATAATAAATTAGTCACTTCAATCCACGACTGTTTGTGGAACACTGCTGTGCCCAATTGGCTGCCGCGTTTCGCCCACAAAACATACAGTCATTTCACTTTACAGTATACTCTGTGAAACACTTTGAGATATCTTGAAGACGTGATAAGGCACTGTATCAAATTCAAGGATTATTAATATAAAACATCCCAGCATATTTCACAAGAAATCTCTGTCTCGTGAGGTGAATGTGTATTCGTAGGTAAACTCAGTAGTCAATTTGCAAAAGCAAGGCGCTATATCAAATGCAAAGATGATTAATATTATACATTTCAAAAGGCCAATAAAAGACAATACTCCTACATTGGCTTTATTGTTCTGGGGTTTGTCCATGGCATACATCGATTATCAATACAAAAACAAATTACTCCAAATCAATCGGTAGAAATAAATATTTTATAAGGAGCATTGAATCTGAGCCATCAATCTTTTCGAAAGTATTTCATAACCTTGATCCTTGTTCAAAGGGAGAAAGGCAAAGCTTTGCAACAATTAATATCGCTGGGAATTTTACGTGTGTGAAAAACGGATATTTTAATGTGAAGGCCAGCCCTGTTGTTGTCAAAAAAGCACATTTTGTAACTTATCTAAGTAGAATAATACTGTGCCACATATTTGGTCTGTCTAAGGCTTTCTGGTATGTTATGTGGAAATTGTGATTAAAATAAGTATAGTGTTGTGGTTAGCGAATTCGCTTTGCATTTATTGTAGCACCTTATCACGTTGTTGTCACATCTCAAAGCGCTTCACAGAATATACCGTAATATGAAATGACTGAATATTTTTATGGCCGAAAAGTGGCAGCCAATTGCACACATCAGTGTCTCACAAACACAGTGGAGTGAGTGACCAAATTATTATTATTATTATTATTTTCTTGAGAGTTCATTACAGCCTGGAAAAGAAATCCACCAATCGACTAACAACCGTGTTCCTAGTTACTTCTCGGTAAAATGCGCGTGGGGTAAAGAAACTTGCCTCAAGTTATACCCTTCCCGGGATCGAACCCGGATCCTCTCGCTTGCGAGGCGAGTGTTCTAACCACTTTGCTACAGGACACCGCATAACCAGGGTAATCTCCTTAGGTTTTCAAAGCATGTTCTGTGGGAGTCATTAGGGCAGTATTATAGGAACACAAATTCATTGCTATCACAGAACCATGGTCAACCTGAGAGGACACCTGTCTTATTTAAACATGATGTGTTGGATTGTGAATTAGTTGGGGATTAAGCTTTGATTTAACCATTGAGATAAATTGTTGGACGCTTATTCTAAGTACTTATATGGGATTTACTTTAATCCTATTAATTTAAGAATACATACTTTGTGGAATTTCACGTATTTCTGTAGACGAAGCAGCACCTCAGTGATATGAAAGAGTCCTGTAGTGTATTAGTTAGAGCACTTGTTTTGCAAAAGAGAGGAACTGGGTTCGATTCCCGGGGCGGGAAGAAACCTTAGGCAAGTTTCTTTACTCCGCACACCCGGTTGTTAATCAATTGCTGGATCGCTTTAATAATCCCTTCAAAATAAAAATACTAATAATTTGGTCACTCAATTCACGACTGTTTGTGGGACATTGCTGTGCGCAATTGGCTGCCGCGTTCGCCCACAAATATACAGTCAATTCACTTCACAGTGTGTTCTGTGAAGCGCTTTGGGACGTCCTCCCGACGTGAAAAGCGCTATATCAAATGCAAGTATTATTATTTATTATTATTATTATTATTAATGTGAAGTCAGTTTTCTTGTCCTTTGCCAGTTCGCTGTTCAGCACACATCTCATTCCCTTGATCACGTACAGCTCCTTTCTGTGCACTGGAGGGAATGAAGACTGATCCATCTGTTTTACCTTCTTCATGAACAGCAGTAGCATTTGCAATCTCCAGTCAGGAGACCTACGGTCTCTGCAAGGAGGAATAAATTCATTACATGAGTTAGCGCCTCCATTGTAAAATGTGTTGCCTATTTCAATAATCACATCAGCTTCATCCAGTCCGGGAAATCTTGAAAAGTTTAATGATAGCAGAGAGCGTCCTAGTTTTGCTATGTTTGGCTTCATAAGGAGAAGCCTGTTAAAGGCTGAGTGTGTTAACCCGGCTCAGTGGGAAGCCCCCATGTCAGGACTTGAAATCACATGGTCTAAGCTGACGCTCTAGTGCAGTGCTGGGGGGCGTGTTGCATTGTCGGAGGTGCCGTCCTTCGGATGAGACGTTAAACCGAAGTCCCGTGGACATTAATGATCCCATGTCAGGACTTGAAATCACATGGTCTAAGCTGACGCTCTAGTGCAGTGCTGGGGGGCGTGTTGCATTGTCGGAGGTGCCGTCCTTCGGATGAGACGTTAAACCGAAGTCCCGTGGACATTAATGATCCCACGGCACAATTCGAAAAGGTAGGGGAGTTTGTCTCTCTCTCTCTTTCTCTCTCTCTCTGTGTCCTGGCTAACAATCCCCCTATAAAATTGGTCACAAATTGGCTGTTTGTGGGACATTGCTGTGCGCAAACTGGGCTGCCGCAGTTCGCCCAGGAAATACGGTCGATCCGCTTTACAGTATATTCTGTGAAGCACATTGAGGCGTCTCGATGACGCGATGAGGCGCAGTATCAAAACGCAGGGGATTGGGGGAGGAGGCGGAGGAGTGAGCTACGAGATCTTTTCAGTCATGGAGTCTTGCTTCGTTGATCCCTCTTCACCTCACCGGAGTGCTCTTCCATTATTAGCTTCAACGGGTCAAATTTGATCCCCTGCAGGTAATCTTTCACTTTGTGTCTCATTGAGTATTAAATATAGGACGTCGATGGATCTTAAGTTAGCTCTGAATTTAAATTGGCGTCAGTCCCGTTTAGATTGTCCAGATTATTGGCTTTGGAGGCCCCCAACGTGAAACTAGCTGCATTTCAATTGATTGCGTTTAGATTTCTGGATGGCTTGTGTTGGTCGGTGAACATTGGTGCATTTTCCACTGCACACACAATACAATACAATACAAAATTACATGTGTGTAGTGCCTTTCACATCGGGAGGACGTCCCAAGGCGCTGGACCCGGGAATTTGGACCCGAACTGGGGGTTGCGATCAGGGAGGTGTGGAGGGCCGGGAGGATAGGAGGTTGCCCAAAGGTGCAATCGAAGAGGAGACTCATAGCGAGCAATTTTAATAGTGTTAATATTCTCCTTGCATTTGATATAGTGCCTTGTAATAAACAATAATAATCCATATATTATTGTTAAACACTAATAATCTCTAGGGGTGTTGATTTATTTTGAGTGCGATGTTGGATCAGTGAAAATTAAACTCCTTGGCAGCAATAATATCAGTTTTGCAATGTTTCAGTCGTGTTTATCCTGAGGGGATCGCAGGAGTTGCCAATCAACTCCGTGCACACATCTCCTCCCATTCCTTCTTCGAACCCCTCCAGTCCGGTTTCCGCCCACAGTACAGAGACTGTGTTTGTGAAAGTCACAAACGACATCCTCTCTATCTGTGACCAGGGCTCCCTCTGCTCCTTGTCCTCCTGGACCTCTCCGCCGCGTTCGACACAGTCGATCACGCCATCCTCCTCCATCGCCTCTCCTCCATCATCCACCTCAGTGGGACCGCACTCCCCTGGTTCGAGTCCTACCTCACAAACCGCCAGCAGTACATCTGCACAAATGGCTTCTCCTCCCGCTCTCACCCGATCACCTGCGGGTACCCCAAGGATCCATCCTTGGCCCCCTCCTCTTTCTGATCTACATGCTCCCTCTTGGGGATGTCATCCGCAGACATGGGGTACACTTCCATGTATGCAGATGACACCAACTCTATTTTTCCACCTCTCTTTGCGACCCCCAGTCCCCTGATGTTCTGCCTGTCAGATCTCAGGGATTGGATGAGCGCAAACTTCCTTCAGCTGAACGTTGACAAGATGGAAGCCATTCTCTTCGGCTCTCGTCAACGTCTCAAATCTCACGGTTCTCACCTCCTCCACCTACCTGACCTACTCCTAAAACTCTCCGAACCCGTATGCAACCCAGGCATCAAGTTCAACATCCAATTATCCCTCCTCCCCCACATCCGGTCCCTCACTAGCACTGCTTTCTTCCACCTCCGACGCATTGCCCGTCTCCGCCAATACCTCTCCACCAAAGCTGCTGAAACTCTGGTCCATGCCTATGTACCTCTCGGCTGGACTACTCCAAAGCCCTCCTCGCTGATCTCCCCTCCACTACCATCCATAAAATCCAACTCATTCAGAACTCTGCCGCCTGCATTCTCACCCGCACGAAACTCCGCTCCCCGATCACCCCAGTCTTTGCCAGACTGCAATGGCTGCCTATCCCATAGAGGATCGACTTCAAGACCCTCACCCTTGTATTCAAGTCCCTGCACTCCTCTGCACCCCCCGACCTCTCTGGCCTCCTCTCTCCTCAAAACAGTACCTGTTGCCTTCGTTCCTCCAGGTCTGGCCTCCTCATCATCCCCCGAGTCCTCCGCTCCACCCTCGGCGGCTGTGCCTTGAGCTACTACGCCCCGAGGCTCTGGAACTGCCTTCCTCACTCCCTTCGTCTCGTTCCCTCCCTTCCCATTTTCAGGTCTCTGCTGAAGACCTTTCTTTTTGACCGCGCCTTTGGTCACCTTCCCCCCCCCCTCCCCCCGGCTCGGTCCCGGGATCCGTGACTGTGAAGCGCTCTGAGATGCCGTCCGGCGCTATATAAATCCAAGTTGTTGTTGTTGTTGTTGTTGTTATCTTCAGACTGACCTCTGAAATAGTGCAGAATTAATGGTCTGTTTTTATCTATCCTCTTTGGTGGGAGGAGGGTGCAAGTGAGATAAGCAGAGTCTCCTTGTAGCTGAACTCGCTTCAACAACATCAACAACTTGCATTCATATAGAGCCCTTGACCTGGGGTAGAGTCCTGGAGCACTTGAACCTAACCTGTTTGGCACTGGAATATTGGTGAGGACACTGGGAGAGAGAATCATAGAATTATACAGCTCAGAAGGAGGCCATTCGGCCCATCGTGTCTGTGTCGGCTCTTTGAAAAGATCTATCCAAATCAATCCCACTCCCCCGCTCTCCCCATAGCCCTGCAAACTTGTCCTCTCCAAATAATTATCTACTTCTCTCTTAAAATTTGTAATCAAATCGGCCTCCACCCCCCCCTTTCAGGCAATGCATTCCAGATCCAAACAACTCGCTGTGTGAAACAATTTCTTCTCATCTCCCCTCTGTTTCTTTAACAACTATCTTAAATCGGTGTCCTCGGGTTACCGACCCACCCGCCAGTGGGAATAATTTCTCCTTGTTCACCCTCTCGAAACCCCTCATAATTTTGAAAACTTCTGTTAAGTCTCCTCTTAACCTTCTCAGCTCCAAGGAGAATAATCCCGGCTTCTCTCGTCTCTCCTGATAACTGAAGTCCCTCATTCCTGGTACCATCCTGGTCAATCTCCTTTGCACTCTCTCCAATGCCTTGACATCCTTCCTAAAGTGTGGTGCCCAGAACTGAACACAGTATCGAGCTGAGGCCTAACCAGTGTTTTATAAAGGTTCATCATAACTTCCTGACTTTTGTATTCTATGCCCCTATTTATAAAGCCGAGTATCCCGTATGCTTTTTTAACAGCTGTTTGGCCACCATCAAAGATTTACTTATATGAACCCCCAGGTCTCTCTGTTCCTTCACCCCCTTTAAGATTGTACCATCAGCTTATATTGCCTCTCCTCATTCTTCCTCCCAAACTGCATCACTTCCCATTTCTCCACATTAAATTTCATCTGCCACATGTCAGCCCATTTTACCAGTCTGTCTATGTCTGTTTTCAGTCTTCTGCTATCCTCATTGTTTACTACTCTTCCTAGCATAGTGTCATCTGCAAACTAGGAAATTGTACTCCCTTTTCCCAAGTCCAGGCCATTTATGTAGCTCAAAAACAGCAGTGGTCCCTATACTGATTCCTGGGGGACACCACTGCCCTCTTCCCTCCAGACAGAAAAACAACTGTTCACCACCACTCTCTGCTTTCAGTCTCCCAGCCGGTTCTATATCCATGCTGCCACTGTCCCTTTAATACTGTGGGCTTTTATTTTGCTTACAAGTGTGGTACTTTATCAAACTCCTTTTGAAAAACCATATAAACTCAATTGCATTACCTTCATCCACCCTCTCCATTACTTCATCAAAAATCTCTATGAGTAACTCCCTTCTCTTTTCGCATAGCGCCATGGGATCTTTAACACCCACCTGAACAGGCAGATGGTCACTTGGCTCAACCTCTCATTTGAAGGACAGCACCTCCAACAATGCAGCATACCCCAGCACTGCATTGGAGTGTCAGTTTAGACTGTGTGATTCCAAGTCCCCACGTGGGGCTTGAACCCACAATCTTCTGACTTAAAGGCAAGAGAGCTACCACTGAACCAGGCTGTCTTGGCCTCACTTTGTCCATCTTTATATGATAACTGAAGACTTTCCTCTTCCATCATGCCTTTGGTCAACTCCCCTCTTTCCAGCTCGGCGTCAAATGCAAGTTGCCGCTGTTGTTCATAATGATGCAGTCGATCGCTGCAGAGCAAGCTGTTGAATGACTCACTAACTTTGGTCTTCGCAGAGGTTTATCAGTACAACGTGCCTGAGTCGCTGCCTGTAGCGTCAACAGTGGCCAAAATCAAAGCGTTGGATTCCGATGTCGGACGCAATGCTGAAATGGAATACAGGATCGTTGACGGGGACGGCCTTGGGATCATCAAAATTTCCACCGACCAAGACACTCAGGAGGGAGTCCTGACACTTCAGAAGGTACGAACACCAGACAAGGGTTATGAAAGGTAATTTCAGGAGGGACACAAGGAAGAGTTTCTTTATTCAGAAGGTAATCAATGACTGGAACTGGTTGTCAAGAAAGTTGCTTGATGCTGTGATGAGGGGACTGCAAATGAAAGGATCCGGGTTTGATTCCTGGGCAGTGCAAAACCTTAGGCACGTTTCTGTTGTTAGTTGGTTAGTCGATAATCCCTTCAAAATAAAAAAATATATAATTTGGTCACTCAATCCACGACTGTTTGTGGGATATTTCTGTGCGCAATTGGCTGCCGAATTTCGCCCACAAAATAGACAGTCAATCCACATTACGGTATATTCTGTGAAGTGGTTTGAGATGTCTCGAAGACGTGATAAGGCGCTATATCAAATGCAAGGATTATTATTATTGACTTCAGAACAGAAGGCCCCACTACAAGGAATTAATGGACGGTGTATAAACATATATTGCCCAGGGTGATTTGCAATTTCTCCAGCAAAAGCTCTGTTTAACCTGCTGTGCTTTTTTTTTATATGGCAAAACCATTTAAGGAATATTTGACAGCTTTCCCCTGCGGCCTTTTATGGGTCACGGAAAGGTTTACATTTCTTTTGCCTATGTACATGTATATACACTGCAGTTAGTTGAGATTAATTCACATACTCTAAGCTCCATCAGGAAGGGATGGAAGGCCTGGACTATAAGGAGCGATTAGACAAACTGGGTGTGTTCACACTGGAGAAGAGAAGGTTGAGGGGAGATATGATTACGGTCTTTAAGATTCTAAAGGGATTAATAATATCGACCATAATAAGCTGTTTTATCTTGTACTGAACAGTAGAACCAGAGTACACAGACTGCAGTTGAAGTGGGGGGTAAATTCAGAACAAATCTGTGGAAACACTATTTCAGTGAGCGAGCAGTAAACATATGGAACAGGCTCCCCAGGGAGGGGGTTGGAAGCAGAAAGTGTTGATTCCTTCGAATACAGATTAGATTTGATTTCCTTTTGCAAATAATATCTCAGGATACAGTGTATGATTTGGGACACAACGTGTGAATGCGACTGCCAGGATGATGGAGGGTGAACTCAATAGACCTTTCATCCTCTTTCATCTAGTATTTTTTATGTTCTGGAGGATATTGCATTGACGGAGGTGTCGTCTTTTGGATAAAACATTAAAAGTCCTGACTGCCCATTCAGGGGGGGTGTTAAAGATCCCATGGTACAATTGGCTGCCGTGTTTCGCGCTCAATATACACAGTTAACCCACTTCACAGTATATTCTGTGAAGCGCTTTGAGATGTCTCGAAGATGTGATAAGGCGCAAGGATTATTTATATTATTATTAATATCACTCGGCTCCAAAATTCCTCCCTCTTTTCAGCTTCCGGTTACCGTTAGGATTCCGAGTGCTGTGTGTTAGAGCCTGTTGTGGTATCAGCTGACTGATGAAGTTGTTGTATCGCATTGCCCTCAGGCAGGTCGGAGGCACAGATGGGAAACTGTAGGTGGGGGAGGCTGCAGTACAGATGGACAAGCAATGTGAAGCCTGACCTCTCACAGCCTGGTGTACCACAAGCACATTCGCTGACTGTGGGATGGCAGTAGTTTCACGTGGCGAAAATGTCAGTCAGTCGGTCAGTCAGTCAGTCGGTCGGTCGGTCGGTCGATCAGTTGGTCAGATGATGAGTTAGTCAATCAGTCAGTCAGTCGGTCAGGCTGTTAGGACCATTAGCGGCCTTTAGATGGTTTTAACAAAATGCATTGAATTGCACTCGGCTCACAGACTCTCTCCCCGGGTATGAAATGGCGACACGCAAAAATGCGATATTTCATAACTGATCCGATGTGCTAACGACGGGGGAATGGACACGAAAGTTGCTGCTTCGAATCTCTTAAGAAACATTCGCAGTTCAGCGATACTTATTGACTAGTTTGAGGCGTTCCGGTCTCCAAATAAATCGATCAACCACTGGAGTCCTGTAGCGTAGTGGTTAGTGCCCTCGCCTTGCGAGCGAGAGGATCATGTTGCTAGTGAGACGAGTGCCCTAACCACAACGCTCCAGGACTCCATAATAATAATAATAATCCTTGCATTTGATATAACGCCTCTTCACTTCTCAAAGCGCTTCACAGAATATACCATCAAGTCCAGTGACTGTATATTCAAAAACAATAATAAATTGGTCATTTTCAATCTACAACTGTTTGTGGGACATTGCTGTGCGCAATTGGCTGCCGCGTTCGCCCACAGATATACAGTCAATTAACTTTACAGTGTGTCCTGTGAAGCGCTTTGGGACGTCCTCCCGACGTGAAAAGCGCTATATCAAATGCAAGGATTATTATTATTATTATTATTTTGTGGGCGAAATGTGGCAGGCAATTGCGCACAGCAGCGTCCCACAAACAGCAGTGGATTGAGTGATCAAATTATTGTAATTATTTTATTTTTTTGAAGGGATTATCAGCCCCGGCAAAAGCCATCCGCCAATCGACTAATAACTGGGTTTCTACTTATTGCGGGTAAACAGAGGAGTGTGTGTGGAGTAAGGAAACTTGCCCAACGTTTCGCCTCCTGCCCGGGAATCGAACCTGGGTCCTCTCGCTTGCGAGGCGAGTGCTCTAACGACTAGTGTATTGTATGTGTTGGTGTATGACCCTGTTCCTCTCCTGTTGCTTGATGCTCTGCAGGAGCTGGATTTCGAGACCAGGTCTGGCTACAGCCTGAAGATCGAGGTGACCAACAGGAACATTGACCCGCGGTTCCTCAGCCTGGGGCCGTACATCGACACGACGGCGGTGAGGCTGACCGTGGAGGACGTCGATGAGCCACCGGTGTTCAGCTCTCCCGGCTACACCATGGTGGTTTCCGAGGCTGCCAGCGCTGGGACCCCCATCGGCACCGTCTCCGCACACGACCCCGATACAGCAAACTATCCCGTGAGGTGGGTTGGGGAGTCCAGTGGGACACAGCGCACAACAACAACACTTTACATTTATCCGCTGATGACTCAATCAGACTGACACTCTGTGTCGCCTTTGATTATGTTTAGCGATTCACCAGAATAACTCGGACAGTAAATAATAATAATAATCATAATAATAATCCTCGCAATTGATACAGCGCCTTATCACATCTTTGAGACGTCTCAAAGAGCTTCACAGGATACAGTATAGCGCCTTGAGACGTCTCGACAACGTGATGTGGCGCTATATCACACAAGAGGATTATTATTATTATTATTATCTTCGTATTACTCACCTCCTAACTGGTAACGCCGCTCACTGATACATTTTGCTTGAACAGCCTCTGGCAGCGAGTTCCACATTCTCACCAGCCTCTGTGTGAAGCAGTTCCTCCGAAACTCCCTGAACATCTGGCTACCGCTGGCTGCCTTGTATTTGTGCCCTTGCTTACGATATCAGTGCTCATTACAATAGTAATCCGTGCATTTGATGTGGAGCTTTATCACGTCGTTGAGAAGTCTCAAAGCGCTTCACAGGATATACTGAAAAGTGAATTAACTGCGTATTTTGTGGGCGAAACACAGCAGCGTCCCACAAACAGTCGTGGATTGACACATCTCATTACATACGCTTCCCAGGTAATTGTTATCAGGTGCGGGGCTGTATATTAGTGAGGCTCCAGAGCTCAATTTCTTTATTGGTCGGCTATTAATGGATGCATGTGTTATGGACTTTTATGGCTTTATCTAATCTATCGTAACTTTTATAAAATATCAGTCCCCATAGATCCTGAATTATAAATATCATTTCGACTCCATTTAATGTTATTGCAATAACTGTCCGCTTGCTTCGAGGCTGATGCCATGTTGATGGCGTTTCGCCCACAAAATATACACGGTCAGTTCAGTTTAGAGTGTGTTCTTGAGACGTCCTGAAGATGTGAGTGTTCCTCTGTGTGGGACAGACGTTACACTACTTCATTGACACTAACGCTACCCCTCGTCTCTGCTCGACTGGCTCCGGCCTTCCTGCTTGTCCCTCGTGCCCTCTGTTCCACCATCGATGGCCGCGCTTTCAGCCACTTCACCCCCAAACCTCTGGAAGACTCCTCTCCCTCTATCCCTCCGCCTTGCACCCCTTCTTTCTCCATCTTCAGGTCACACCTGAAGACCTTCCTCTTCGACCATGCCAATGGTCACCTCCCTCTCCCCCCCCGGCTCGGAGTTGTGCTCCACCACTGTCGAGCGCTCCGGGATGTTACCCTGTGTGAGAGGGCGCAATATAAGTCCAAGTTGTTGTTGTTTCACACAGTCAATTCGTTTTACATCATATCCTGTGGTGCGCTGTGAGAAATCTCAGCGACGTGACGAGGCGTTATATATCAAATGCAAGGATTATTGTTATTAAAATGATATATGTGTATCTTTAGTTGTTCTTATTTTCCTTTTTAGGTATTCCATAGATCGCAACACTGACCTGGAAAGATATTTTAACGTCGATGCCATGTCTGGGATCATTACGATAGCCAAGACACTGGACAGAGAGACCAACGCAGAACACAACATCACGGTTCTGGCTATAGAAAGTCGTAAGTGACTCCCATTCAAATCATTTAGTTCCGTAGCTCAGCGGTTACAGCACTCGGCCTCGTCGCAAGCGAGTGGACCTGGGTTCGATTCCCGGGCAGGGCAAAACCGTAGGCAAGTTTCCTTACTCCACACACCTCTGTATACTTAGCAGTAAGTAGGAACCTGGTTGTTAGTCAATTAGCAGATCACTTTCCTGGGGTAATAATCCTTCCAAAAAAAAGAAAATTTGGTCACTCAATCCACGACTATTTGTGGGACACTGCTGTTAGCATTTGGCTGCCATGTTTCGTCCACAAAGTACATTGTTAATCCACTTTACGATGTATTGTAAGCCGTTTTTATCTTGTACTGAACAGTAGAACCAGAGGACAAACCCTTGAAGGGGAGTAAATTCAGAACAAATCTGCGGAAACACTACTTCAGTGAGCGAGTAGTAGTGAACTTGTGGAACAGGCTCCCTAGGGATTGTTTCGATCGTTTCAAGAACAAATTAGATAGATTTATGTCAAGAGAAAAAATCGTGGGATACAGTATATAGTTTGGGACATGACATGTAAATGTTACTGCCAGGATGGTGGAAGGTGAACCAGCAAATTCTTACGTATTCTTCGGTTCTTATGTATTCTGTGAAGCTCTTTGAGATGCCTCAACGACATGATACGGTGCTATATCAAATGCAGGGATTATTATGTTATATTATCATATATTGTATAATATTATTACACTTCTTCAATGCGGATAGCTCCTGTACTTGGTATTAATGGAATGCAAAGACCGCTTTATATTTAGAATGAATAATTCAATACAAGATATCTTCACAGGTTTGCAAACAAATCCTGCTCTCACAAAAATATAAATGCTCGAAGCCCGTTAAACACAGCTTGTCACTTGTTTAACAAATGATTCATTGTGCTTTACTTTTATTTGTGCTGTCAATATAGACAATCTTTGATCAGATTGTTTCAACAGCACTCTCGGCTCTTGAGTCAGAAGGTTGTGGTTTCAAGCCCCATGTTGGGACTTGCAATCACATAGTCTAAGCTGACACTCCAATGCACTGCTGGGGGGGATGTTGCACTGTCATTGATATCGCTGTCTGGCCAGCTTTCTCGCTGCTTGTCCAGCGAGGACCACCCTACCCATTAGGGCTTTGGCTGCGGGGTTAGCAGGAGCTGACGGGGAGGATTCCCTGCCTCCAGTGACTGATCTGCCCTTCCAGGTCCTGCCAATGAGCCGCCCTGGGCTGTGCTGTCATCAACAGTGCCCTGGAATACTGCGGACCTGCCTGGCTCAGGAACCGGATTGGAGACCGGCACAGAGGGGGGGGCTCGATTCCGACATTACGTTGCCAAACATGTCACCTTGGAGCCTGTTCAGCTCGGAAGAGCCCCTGCTTACCATGGCGGATAGTCCTAGTGACTGTTGTTCATGGACGTGTAAATGTTGATGGACAATTTGACGGGGCGAGGGGAGGGGGAAAGAGTATCACAGCCAAACCCAATAATAATTATAATCCTTGCATTTGATATAGCGCCTTATCACATCATCTGAAAGAGCTTCACAGAATATATTGTAAAGTAGATTCACTGTATATTTTGTGGGCGAAACACGGCAGCTGGTTTCCCACAAACAGTGGTGGATTGAACGCCCACTTACCACCCCCACCCTGCAAGGAGGAGATTGACCTTTGCATTGTTTCTCCCACAGAAAACCCTTCGCAGATCGGACGAGGTTCTGTCCTCGTACGCCTGGTGGATGTGAACGACAACGCACCTGAATTCCCAATGGAATACGACACGTTTGTCTGCGAGAACGCCAACCCCGGAGACGTAAGAGCCTTTACCTTTGCAGGTCGTTGCTCTCTGGTATCGTGCGGGTTGGGTCGTGTATTAGTGGGTGTCATGTGGAGTCCTGTAGCTCACTGGTTAGAGCACTCGCCTCGCAAGCGAGAGGACCTGGGTTCGATTCCCGGGCAGGGCGAAACGTTGGGCAAGTTTCTTTACCCCACACGCCTGTGTTTACCCAGCAGTAAGTAGGAACCCAGTTGTTAGTTAATTGGCGGATCGCTTTTCCGGGGATAATAATTCCTTCAAAATAAATAAAATTAATTTGGTCACTTCAATCCACGAGTGTTTGTGGGACGCTGCCGCACGCAATTGGCTGCCGCGTTTCGCCCACAAAATATACAGTCAATTCACTTTACAGTATATTCCGTGAAGCGCTTTGAGACGTCTCGAAAACGTGATACGGCGCTGTATCAAATGCAAGCGTTATTATTATTAATATACGTGGCAGCTCAGAGCAATCTCAATGCAATCTGCCCACGGAAAAAAACACGATCGCACCACGTTACAGGATCCCGTGAAGTGCTTTGGGACGTCTCGACGAGGTGATGAGGTGCTACAGTAAAATTTGCATAGGTCTTAGCTTTATGAAGCGTATAATTCTTTCAGCCTCTCTGCCCCCACCCACCCTTTGGAACTCCATCCCACAGTCCCTTCGCCTTGGCCCTCCCTTGGCTCCTTCAAGTCCTATCTCAAGACCCTCCTCTTCGACCGTGCCTATGGCCACCCCCCTACCCCACCCTCACAGCTCGGGTCCAAATCCCTGACTGTCCAGCGCCTTGGGACGTCCTCCCGGCATGAAAGGCGCTGCGTAAATGTAATTTGTGGCTGTTGCCTTATTTTTCTGCTGAACTGTAAATTCTAGATGCGAGTCTCTCGCGGAGTCTGTTCAGGGGAGGGAGGGGGGAAGCTTCACAATTGAAACAAATTACTTGCAAATGATGTGTAGATTGCCGCAAAGGGATTTTGTGCTTTTCCTGAAGTTCCTCCTGAAATGGCAGCTTTATGACTTTGACATGAACGTAAACAGCTATAATTACTTGAAATTATAGTGCCCTGTGTCTCCGGTGATTGCGAGTGGGGGAGGTGGGGAGGAGGCTGGTGAGACGCGGTAGGGGTGGGAGGGGGGGGGGGTGGGTGGGAGAGGATGAAGATAATATACGAGATAAAAATAAAGATGATTATTTGTAACGAATTAAAATTGCGCTCATTTGCGTTTCCCAATGACAGAGTGGTTGAGTGTACGAATCCCACACACGCACCACTCCCGGAAATGAGAAGCATTCCATTATTTTAGCCCGAACGCTAATTAACCTAAAATATCACTCTTGTTGTTTAACCCGCAAAATCCACAGTCAATCCACTTTACAGTATATCCTGCGAAGCGCTTGGAGACGTCTCGATGACGTGATCGATCGATCGACATTGGTAATAATGTCAATAATGTGATCGACATTATTACCAATGTCAATAATGGTAATGATAATCCTTGCATTTGATATGGCGCCTTATCACCCCGTTGAGGCGTCTCAAAGCGCTTCGCAGAATATACACTGTACAATGCCCAGTTTATCAGCCGCGGTTCGTTTGGTGGAGCGCAAAGCGATAGCTCGTCTGGTAAAGAGGGTTAGTCACTTTCTCGGCTTCTGGCTTCTGGCGTTTGATGCATTCGAATATAGCGCCTTATCACGTCTTCCAGACATCTCAAAACTCCTAAAGTTCCTATTTACGGCGAGGGAAGCAGAGGCCTGTGGAGTAAGGAAACTTGCCTAAAAAAAAGCCCTCTGCGCCCCCCCCCCCCCCCCCAGGGCTCGCATCAGGGCCCACCATGGTCCTGTTGGGTTGGCTGCCCCAGCCCCCCAGCCCATGGGATAATGCCATCCACCTGACCGCTCGCTCCCGGTCCCCGCGTGCGCACTATGGCTGCCGCTTTGACCCGAGCCCCCTCACACCCTCCCTCCCTCCTCCCTCCTCCCTCCTCTCTACCCCCAAACCCTCCCCCCTCTGCATCTCTCCCGCTCTGTCCTCCTCTCTATCTGTCCCTCTCGCCTTCTATCCCCACTTCACCCTCCCACAACCTCCCTGCTCTCCTCGCTCAACCTCTCCCTCCACATAAACTCCCCCACTCACAGTCACGGCCACCCACTCGACTTGGTGATCACCCGGGGCCTCAGTGTCTCGGATGTCACTATCACCGACAAGGCCATCTCTGACCACCACTTCCACCAGACCCACCACCATCTTCTACCGCCCCTGGAAGAAGTTACCCCCACAATCCCTAACCGCTGCCTTGGAGTCCTCTGAACTCCTCTCCCTCTGGCCTTCAACCCTCACCGACCCCTCTTCTGCTCTCACCCTCCTCCACACCACCCTCTCCTCCACACTCGACACTCTTGCCCCCATCACCTCCCGTACTGTCTCCTACTCTCACTCCTCCCCCTGGTTCACCACCCACCTCCGCTCACTGAAGAGCCAGGTGTTGGCCGCTGAACGCACTGCCTCAAATCTGACCTAACGTTCCACCGACAAATCTGGCTGAACCTCCTCAAAACCTACCGCTCCACTCCAGCCTCAGCCAAGTCGTCCTTCTACTCCAGGATAATCCTGGAGTCGAAGGACAACCCCAGGCTACTGTTCTCTACCGCATCCCGACTCCTCCGTCGCCCCCGCCGCCCCGCGCAGGTCATCTCCTCCAACCTTCACTGCGAGGAGATGCTGGATTTCCTTGAATCCAAAATCAAGGGAATTCGCTCCGCGGTCACTTCCCCTCCAACATCCACCCACCCCCCCACCCCCTCCCTCCCCCACTCCGACTCCTACCCATCCTCCCCTACATACATTCGTACCCGTTTCCCCACCCTCTGTCACCAAACTCATCCTATCCCTGAAACCGACCACCTGCTCCCTTGACCCCCATCCCCACTCCACTCCTTATCTCCCAGCTCCACCTCCTTGCCCCACATATCACAGACATCGTCAACCTGTCCCTCTCCTCTGGCTCTGTTCCCATTCCCTTAAAAACTGCCACCATCACTCCCACCTTGAAAAAACCCTCCCTTGATGCGTCGCAGCTATCAAGCTACCGGCCCATCTCCAACCTCCCCTTCCTGTCCAAGGTCCTGGAACGAGTTGTCGCCTCCCAACTGCGCTCTTTCCTCTCCACCCATTCATTATTCGAACCCCTTCAGTCGGGTTTCCGTGCTGCCCATAGCACAGAAACTGCCCTGGTCAAGGTCACCAATGACATCCTGACCATCTGTGACCAGGGCTCCCTCTGCCTCCTCGTCCTCCTCGACCTATCGGCAGCATTCGATACGGTCGACCACGCTATCCTACTCCACCGCTTGTCCTCCCACCTCAACCTTCAAGGCCCTGTCCTTGAGTGGTTTAGGTCGTACCTCTCCCACCGTCTTCACTTTGTTTCCACAAACAGCTTTTCCTCCACCCCCCCGCACTGTCTCGTGCGGTGTCCCTCAGGGCTCTGTCCTCGGTCCCCTCCTCTTCACCCTCTATATGCTCCCCCTGTGGTGACATCATCCGCAGACATGGGTTAACTTCCACATGTATGCGGATGACACCCAACTCTACCTTTCCTCCTCTACCCTCAACTCCACGACCCCCGATGTCCTGACAGCTGTCTGTCCGACATCGAGTCCTGGACGAGAGACAACTTTCTTCAGCTCAACGTGCGTAAAACTGAGGCCCTCCTGATTGGCTCACGTCAGCGCCTCCGCACCTCAGGCGCTGACAGTATCAGCATCCAAGGCCGCACTCTCCACCTCTCAAAGCCATCAGGAACCTCGGGGTTCTGTTCGACCCTGAGCTGTCCTTTCTCCCTCATATCCGCACCACAACTGGCACCGCCTTCCATCACCTCCGGAACATCGCCAGACTACGGCACTACCTCACCCCTCACGCGGCTGAAACTCTGGTTCACGCCTTTGTCACCTCAAGGCTGGACTATGGGAACTCTCTCCTCGCCGGCCTTCCCGGCCCTCCCTCCACACCGCAGGTCATTCAGAACTCTGCAGCTCGTGTACTGTCCCGCACCAGACACCGCGACCACATCACTCCCACCCTCGCTCCCCTCCACTGGCTCCCCATCCCCCAGAGGATCGAATTCAAGATCCTCATCCTCACCTACAAGGCCATTCACGGCCTTGCTCCCTCCTACCTCTCTGACCTACTATCCCCCTACCTACCTGCCCGTACCCTCCGTTCCTCTGGCTCCGGTCTGCTCCACATCCCCCGCCCCAACCGCCCTACCATCGGTGGCCTTCAGCCTCTCAGCCCCGAGGCTCTGGAACTCTATCCCCAGTGCCTTCGCCGCCTCCTCCCTTTCCTCCTTCAAGGCCGGTCTCAAGACCTTTCTCTTTGACCGTGCCTTCAGCTCCCCTCTCGACTCTCTACCCCCTCCTCGCTCCCTCCCTTCCCTCCCCTCACCCTGACCATTTCCCCCCTCTTGAGTCCTGACCCAACTGTACAGCGCCATGGGACGTCCTCCCGACGTGAAAGGCGCTCTATAAATGGAATCTTGTTGTTGTTGTTGTCTAAGGTTTCGCCCTGGCCAAGAATTGAACCCGGGTCCTCTCGCTTGCGAGGCGAGTGCTCTAACTACTGAGCTACAGGACTCCGAGTGCTGTATCAAATGCAAGGATTATTATCATTATATATATTTAAGTGAATAATGGAAGACTTGAAACGAATCACCGGGTACATAGTGGGACAGAGAGTCAATCGGTGTAGCAGTCTGTAGGGAGCCCAGACTGTTGAGATCCAGCTCTTGGTAACACCAGATCGACGTCGTTTGCTCCTTGTTGTTTGAATAATTTTTAATTAGTAGCACACCGATTCCAAGTCATTTAATCAGAATAATTGTCAGAGCTAAAAACATTGGAATTACTTTGTGTCTGCAATTGCCAAGGGCACTTCAAGACAACTCAGTAAATCCGCACAGCTCCTTGCAAAGTAATAATAATAAGCCTTGCATTTGATACAGTACCTCATCACGCCGTTGAGACGTCTCAAAGCGCTTCACGGAGTATATACTGTAAAGTGTAGTGACTGTGTGTTTTGTGGGCGACACCCGGCAGCCAATTGCGCACAGCGACGTCCCACAAACAGTCGGGGATTGATCCTACAGTTTCCGGGGGTAATAATTTCGCCCACAAAATCCACAGTCAATTCACTTTACAGTGTAACCTGTAAGCGGTTTGAGACGTCTCAACCCACGCGATAAGACGCTTTATCAAGTGCGAGTATTATTATTATTATTATTACAGTTGGTTAGAGCACTCGCCTGGCAAGCGAGAGGAGCGGGGAGAGAGCCCGCATTCCAGTCCAACAACCTATTTCTGGGATTTCATGTGTAGGTGGGAGGCGTGGAATTCTCAGTGAGGTTTGGAGACTCTTAAGCAACAGTGATGGGTTTCCGCTTGTGTCGGACACCCGGCTGACCAAAAACAAACAGGGACACTTATTATAATAATAATAATAATAATAATCCTTGCATTTGATATAGCACTTTTCACGTCGGGAGGACGTCCCAAAGCGCTTCACAGAACACACTGTAAAGTGAATTGACTGTATATTTGTGGGCGAACGCGGCAGCCAATTGCGCACAGCAATGTCCCACAAACAGTCGTAGATTGAAAATGACCAATTTATTATTGTTTTGTTTTGGAGGGATTATTATTAGGCTCTGTGTGGAGTAAGGAAACTTGCCCAAGGTTTCGCCCTCTGCCTGGAACTGAACTCAGGTCTCTCACTTGCAAAGCGAGTGCTCTAACCACTGAGCCACAGGACTCCACATTATTATTATTATTATTAGGTACTGATTTGTACACACACACACACGCGCGCTCGCAGACACGCACACAGACACATACACAAACACACACCCGCACACAGAGTGGAGGTGCTGATCTGTGACAACCTACTGATTACTTGTCTACGGTTGAAAGTGCCGAGGAATCAAAACGAAAGCTGAAATTTCTTTGCCAAGATTCCTCTCGACACCCTGGATGCGCAGCGATGCCCAAACGCCGCTCAACCGTACAGCCGCCAACAGCTGAAATGACACCATCTTATTTGTAAAAAAGCCATCGCTCGAAGAAGAGCTCAGTCCTTAGATGTAGTTGGAAAGGTCCTCGTAGTCGATTATCACCCCCAACCCTCGCCCGGCTCCACTGGCTCCCCATCCCCAGAGGTTAGAGTTCAAAATCCTCGTCCTGGTCTACCAAGCCCTCCACGGCCTTGCTCCCTCCTGCCACAACAACTTTGCATTTATATATTGCCCCTCACGTGGGGAAGAGGTTCCAGTGCATTTTGCGGCATTTTGTGACCTACTTCTGTGACCTGCTACCTCCATATCGGTCTGTCCGCTCCCTCTGCTCGGCGGGCTCCGGCCTGCTCCACCTCCTCCGCCCGTCCTGCCCCACCATCGGCCGATCAGGCCTTCAGCCTCTCTGCCCCCACCCTTTGGAATTCCTTCTCGCAGTCCCATCGCCTCACTCTCTCCCTTGCCTCCTTCAAGGCCCATCTCAAGACTCTTTTATTCGACCTCACCTTCGGTCACCCTCCTATCCACCCTCCTAACCCTCCATAACCCCTGATCGCAACCCCCAGCTCGCGTGAGTGTCCAGAGTCTTGGGACGTCCCCTTGACGTGAAAGACGCTATGCACATCCAATTTGTTGTTGTTGTTGCTATTTAGTCAGGAGAAGCCGTCCCTTCACACCCTGGCACCTCCGTACCTGCTTACTCCCCAACCCACTACCCGCTGCCTCCACTCGACTGGCTCCAGCTTCCTCCTCGTGCCCTCCGTTCTACCATACTGTAAAGTGGAGTGACTGTGTAGTTTGCGGGAGAATCGCGGAAGCCAGTTGCACTCAGCAGTGTCCCACAAACAGCCGTGGACCGAGCGACCAATTCTACTTGGAGGATTGTTGGCCAGGACACCGGCAGAGAGAAGCTCCCTTCTCTTTTCTAATAACGCCGCGGGATCTTTAGCATCCACCCGAACAGGCAGACGGGACCTCGGCTTAACATCTCATCCGAAGGACGTTGTCTCTGACAACGCAGCAATCCTCCAGCGCCATATTGGAGTGTGATTCCAAGACCCGAAGTGGGGGCTTGAGCCCACAACCTTCTGACTCAGAAACGAGAGCGCTACCAACTTGGGTGATCTACTCCTCTTCCTGTGTCGCTGTGACTGACACTGCGAGCCGGTGAAGTGGTAAATTTGACGGGGAGCGAATGGTAAGTGTCGAGACTGAAATCTTTCCTGACATCTCTCTGCTATTCACAGACAATCCAGAGGATCAGTGCGGTGGACAGGGACGAACCTCCGAGTGGGCATCGCTTTCACTTCTCCCTGGCTCCTGGAGCTGCCAACAACCTGAACTTCACAGTACAAGACAACAGAGGTAACCAGTGACCCCCACTACCCACTCCCCCCCCCCCCCCCGCCCGCTTCAGTGCTTTCCAGTCTATGCCCAGCTTTAAGCCTTACACAAGCGCGAGGCTCCTCCGTTTGACTGGCTTCGGCCTCCTCCTTGTCACCGTGCTTTCAGCCTCTGCGCCCCAACGCTGTGGAACTCTCTCCCTCAAGCCCTTCGCCTTACCCCCCCACTCTTCTCCCCATTTTCAGACTGAGGTGGATGGAGTTTTGTTAGGTCAGGGTATCAAGGGATATGGGGCAAAGGCGGGCAATTGGAGTTGAGGTACAGATCAGCCATGATCTTATAGAATGGCAGAACAGGCTCAAGGGGCTGAATGGCCTCCTCTTGTTCCTATGTTCCTCTGTTTCTATCTACTACAATGTCTATCCAACACGACCTTTTGTGCCTGTGTTTAGACAACACGGCTCTGATCCTGACCCGCAAAGCTGGCTTCAGTCGACAAGAACAGCCCATTTACCAGCTGCCCATTGTGATCGTGGACAACGGGATTCCATCACTCAGCAGCACCAACACCCTGACCGTCCGCGTGTGCGGCTGCGACGGGGACGGAGTGGCCCATTCCTGCAACACCGAGGCCTTTGTCCTGCCCGCGGGCCTGAGCACAGGGGCCCTCATAGCCATCCTGGCCTGTGTCCTTACATTGCTAGGTACGTGCTCACATTACCTTAACTCCTTTGCGCTCAACTCATTTGTGGAGTTCTGTAGCTCAGCGGTTAGAGCCCTCGCCTCGCGAACGAGAGACCTGGGTTCGATTCCCCGGGCAGGGCGAGATGTTGGGCTGCTGCGTCTCGCCCACAAAATACAGTCAATTCACTCTACAGTGCCTTCTGCGAAGCGCTTTGAGACCTCTCGATGACGTGATAAGGCCCTATATCAAATGCAAGGATTATTATTGTTATTATTAGTGTTTAGCTCTCATGGAACAGCAGTGAGGTAATTACATGTCGAGCCGATAATTCTCTGTCAGGGCATCGGGCTGTTGCTCGGCCTGGTATCTGCAGAATGAATGGTTAAGAAATAGAGTGAAGAAGCAATAAGTCATGTTCCTGAAGCCCGTGCTGAGAGATGGATCATTATGGAAATGCCTTGTAGTCATCACACTCACACACAAGTCATTTGTTGGCTTCACTGCTTAGATCTGCTAACACATTGACACAGGGCAGACCAGCTTGTCTCTGTGCATGTGTGCGGGGTGTGTGAGTGTATTTGCGTGTTTGTTTGTGATTGTTGGGTGGGGGGGGAGGGAAGATGCCTTTTGCTTCTGTTTAATTACTCCGGCCTCCTGCTTGTCCCTCCGCTCCACCATGGGCGGCCACGCTTTCAGCCACTGAGCCCCGAAGCTCGGGAACATTCTCCCTCAATCCCTCCATTTTGCCTCCTGCGTGAAGGGCTCTATACGTGCAAGGATTATTATTATTATTATTATTAATAATAATGTTGAGTGAGCCTTTGCTCTGTGTTGCAGTGCTGGTGCTGCTCATCGTAACCCTGAGACGCCGCAAGAAGGAGCCGTTGATCCTGGACGAGGAGAAGGACGTGCGGGAGAACATCGTCAGGTACGACGACGAGGGCGGGGGCGAGGAGGACACCGAGGCCTTCGACATGGCCACCCTGAGGAACCTCCACTTCATCCAGGACCCCAAAACCCGGCGGGACGTGACCCCCGAAATCCAGTGCTTCTCAAAGCTGGCCGGCGGGGGAGCAAAAACAGCCGATAACGTCATATTCCGGGAATTTATCTGGGACAGGATGAAGGAGGCGGACTCGGAGCCTTCTGCTCCACCCTACGACTCTCTACAGACTTACGCGTTCGAGGGCAATGGATCGGTGGCGGAGTCTCTCAGCTCCCTCGAGTCGGTCAATTCCGAGTCAGACCAGAACTACGATTATCTCAGTGACTGGGGGCCACGTTTCCAAAAGCTGGCTGACCTGTACGGTAGCAATAATAAGGAATGTCTCGGCTCTTAGTTTTTTTCCAGGTCAAACGAACGAACGAACGAATGAACCGAACGAACGAACGAACGAACGATCGCATCGATTTTTTTTTTGGAATAAGGTCACCCACCAAGTCACCCACACACCCGCCCACTCACCACTTACGCACCCACTCACGCACCCCCTCACTCACCCACCCACCCACTCACTCACCCACCCACCCATCCACACACCTACCCACTCACTCAATCACTCACTCACCCACCCACCCACCCACACACCCACTCACTCACTCACCCACTCACTCACTCACTCACCCACCCAATCACCCACACACCCACTCACTCACTCACTCACTCACCCACACACCCACCCACACACCCACCCATATACCCACCCATACACCCACCCATATACCCACCCAGCCTCACACGGTTTGAAAAACAAATGTAAATATTAAACCTTTTTTTAAAGCGTCAATTTTTCTTTCCGCCTCTTCTAAAGGAGGCCACGGAGCCCCACGCAGGACGCAAGCGTAGCCCTTCACGCAACGTGCACGCAGACCAGGCACAGACGTGCACGCAGACACCGGCACGCACGCACACGCACACAGACACAGGCACGCACACGCACTCAGACGCAACACGTGCACAGACACGCACAAGGACAAAACACACAACACAAAGGGACACACAGACATTACAAACAGACACCACACACACCTACACGCACACACACACACACACACACACAGACAACACACACTGTGAAGAGGCAGCAATGGGAAATCACGGACGTTAACATCTCTCCTGATTTGTACAGGAGAGTTTTATCTTTTTTATTTGTTACGCGGGAATGTATTTATACCAAAATAAGACACAGTGAAGCCAAACACCAGGGCGTCTGAGCCAGCCTCACCCAGTGATGGCTGGGCATGGGAGCACATGCTGACTTTAGTCTCTCCCCGCCACAAATATATGGATGAAGTAAAGCATGAAAGAACCTAATTAGAGTAAAAATTAATGGGACATTTCTCATCCCAGCACGACATGCGAGACTGCGAGGAAAGAGTTTTATTGGAGACCGCTATGGTGTTCTGGGACGATTGTGCTATTGTCTGAAAAAAATTTCTGTGGGTCTGATATGTGCGGAAACCCATCTCCGTGCTTAAGAGCATCCAAACCACACTGAGAATTCCACCCCTCCCACCTACACACAGAAATCCCAGAGATAGATCGCTGGAATGGATTACGCTCTCTCTCCCTGGAGGGACACATCCTGTTTACCTAATTCCGGAGAGTATTAGGCGCAGGTTGGCGAGAGCCAAGGCTCGAGGGGAGCCCAGAGTGTGCGTTGGGGTAACTGCTGGAGTTTAACCAGCCAAGACCACACAGATTGCCATTGGGAGCACTGTCTGGCAAGCTTTCCCACTGCTTATCCAGCTGGGACCACCCTACACGTTAGGGCCGTGGCTTGCCGGGCTCACAGGAGCTGAGCGGGAGGATTCCCTGCCCCCAGTGACGTTGTCTGATAATAGCAGGTCTGAAAAACAGAAGACACCAGACATTTTTTTTCCTGACGTCACATCCACCGATCTCGCACCTCGTTCGTCTGTGAATCGAGGTCACGGCTGCCGTTTTTTGTAGACAATCATCGCTTCGTGGTTTCGGCCTGTTCTTTCTTCCCATTTGTAAATTGCGGAGGCTTAAAAGGAAAGTTTTGTAATAGATTATTAAAGAGAGAAAAAAAAACAACAGTGTCATTACGTTGAGTTATACCTGTATAGTTTTCAAATAAAAAGGATGGGAAAAGAATTTAGTTTACGTTATCTAATTGTGCCTTCTCTCACTTTATTGAGTTCTGCAGAGCCGTGTAGCGAATTGGTTAACACACTCTCCTCACGAGCGAGAGGACCTGCGTTCGATTCCCAGGAAGGGCGAAACCTTAGGCAAGTTTTATTACTCTGTTTACCCAGCAGCAAGTAGGAACCCGGTTGTGAGTTAATTGGCGGATCAATTTCTGGCACTAATAGTCCCTCAAACCATGACTGTTTGTGGGACACACCTGTGCGCAATCGTCTTGATGCATTTTGCCCACAAAATACACAGTCAATTCACTTCACAGTGTATTCTGTGAAGCGCTTTGAGACGTCTCAACAGCATGCTATATCAAATGAAAAGATTATTATTGTTATGTCGCTCCTGATCGCTGATCGAAAATGTATCTACAAATACACAGTCACTCCACATGACAGCAATACCTGTGAAGGGCATTGAGTGGTTGACGTTCTAGGTGTTGCATCAAATGCAAGGATTATTATTAACAAACATCATTCGGTTCAGGTGGACGTTAAAGATTCCCATGGCACTATTTAAAAAGAGAACGGAGCTTCTCCCTGTGTCCCAGCCGACAATCCCACAGATAATATTGGTCATTCACCGCGTGGAGTTCAAAATGCCTCCTCCCTCACCTGCTTCAAGGCCCGTCTCAAGATCGTCCTCGTTGACTGAGCCTTTGGTCATCTTCCCACCACCACCCTCAGGTGCAAACCCTTGACTGTTAAGCATCTTGGGACGTCCGCCCGACGTAAAAGACGCTGTGTAAATACAATTTGTTGCTGAATAATTAAAACACTTTAAGGTCCCATTAAACCCTAGCATATCCAGTCTATCCTTACTACGATCAGGATGGACTGGATAGGTTGGGGATTTTTTCGCTAGAGGAGAGATGTTTCATGGGGAACCTCATAGAAGTGTTTAAAGTAATCAAAGAGTTCGATATGGTTAACATAAATGGGCTGTTTCCACTGGTTGTGGAGCCCGTCACCAAAGAACACAAATATAAGACAGCGGACTTGGAGAAGTAAAAGAGAATTTAGTGAGGAACTACCTCACACAGAGGGCAGTGAGATTGTGGAACTCGCTGCCTAAAGCGATCGACGCAATTTGTTGTTGTTGTTCCTGTTGTATCTTGTGGAGTGCTTTGAGTTTGGCCTCTCGACGTGAAACGCGCTGTATCAAACGCAACGATTATCACAGCATTATAAGTCACTGCGGTAGCATTTCCGTGCGGTGCAACGATTTGGAGAATATACAAAGTGACAGCTCGTCTCGCACAGCGTGATGTCCTCATTCAGTCAGCCAGTGTGGCTACGATCCCTTCACATCCTGATCGGTGTATTGATATAACATGACGGATTGTGAAACAAAGCCCATTTTTTTTTTTTTTTTACCGGTTGCTAAAATAACAGCGCGTTAAGAAAGCCCCCGCCTCCTGCCCACCTCGCCTGCTCTGAGACCTTACACCTCACTCCCTATTTGTGGAGTCTGGCCACACAACGCCGTGTGCCAGCCCTGGCCCAGTGGTAACACGCTCGCCTGAGTCAGAAGGTCGTTGGTTCCAGTCTCACAACGGGATTTGTGGCAGCTCCGACAATGCAACACACCCCGGATTCCATTGGCTGGCGCGTTCGCCCACAAGATGCACAGTCACTACACTTTACAGCAGATAAAAAAAAACGGCTTAGACTATGTGATTCCAAGTCCCGATGCGGGGGCTTGAACTCACAACCTTCTGACTCAGAGGCAAGAAAGAGCTACCCCTGGGCCAGGTTGACACACACGTAGGAGCTATGCTTGTCTTCTATTGCTGCATGAGTCCACATTCAGTGTGTAGGTAAACAATTATTATAATAATTGTTATTATTGTTATTATCACTGCAACTAATAATGATAATTATCTTAGAATCATAGAACCTTACAGCACAGAAGGAGACCATTCGGCCCATTGCTCCGGTGCCGGCATTTTGAGAGAGTTATCCAATTAGTCCCATTGTCACTGCGTCAACGTGAAGTGTTTTACCGTTGACCATTTGCTCCTACAAGCATTCAGCAACAGTCTCTTCCTCAGTGCATCACCCTGGCTCAGTCAGTAAACGCTCTCGCCTCTGGGGATGTGAAACACGCTCTATAAATGAAATTTTGTTGTTGTTGTTGATGTTGAGTCAGAAGACAGTGGGTTCAAGCCTCACGCACGGTCTAAGCTGACACTCAAATGCCGTGTTGTGTTGTCGGAGGTGCCATCCTTCAGATGAAACCTTAAACCGAGGTCCCGTCGGCTAAAGATCCTGTGACGCTATTCGAAAAAGAGAAGGGAGTTTCTCTCTCTCTCCCGGCGTCCTGGCCAACAATCCCTCAAATAAAATTGGTCACTCACCCCATGGCTGTTTGTGAGATGATTGCTGTAGGCAAATCACCTGCCACACTTGCCCACATCGGATTTCCCCCTTCGACCTTCTCTGCTCGAGCAAAAATGCAGCCTCTTCACAAACCTGCAGCCTCTTGTCGTTGGTGTCGATGTTGTACACATTCTTGTAGAGAAACTCACGGCACTTTAATCAAAACTCAATAGGAACTCTCAACTGAATCATCATAATAATACTCATCCTTGCATTTGATATAATGCCTTATCGCATTGTTGAGACGTCTCAAAGTGCTTCACGGAATATATTGCGCAGTGAATTGACTGAATATTGTGTGGGTGAGACATGGCAGCCAATTGCCCACAACAATGTCCCACAAAGAGTTGGTGATTGAGTGATCAGAATATTCTTCTTCTTATTTTTTCATTTGACGGGTTTATTAATCCCCGGAAAGCGATCTGCCAATCAACTAACACCCAGGTCCCTATTTACTGCTGGGTAAACAGAGGCGTGTGGAGGAAGGAAACTTGCCTAAAGTTTCGCCCTACTCAGGAATCGAACACGGTTCCTCTCGCTTGCGAGGCGAGTGCTCTAACCACTGAGCTACAGGACTCCCAAACCGTTAATAATTAATGTGGAACGTACAGAATGTTGGATTACAATCAAGTGACTTTCACAGTTAAAATGCTGAGGATGCACTGAAGGATCCTGTTTCCTCTTCTCAGTGTAAAAGTTTGGAAGCTTTGAGCAGATTCACTGAAGGAAGTTTTGTGTCAAAGAAACTCCCAGAGCAGATTGATCTTGCCGAGCAAGTGTCAGTTAAGTGCAACATTAGCTCCGACATTAGAGCTATCAGCCGCTGTGCAATTTCCCAGGCTGAGAGACCGAGCCCGCTCCCGAAAGCTTTACCTCACGGGTAGAACAGACACTTCCCAGTATCTCCTCTCCGCTCTCAGGAGAGGGT